TTCCTCTCTGAGGCCCTGGTATTTCTCCAGTTTCTCATGCTCCTTTTTCCTGATGTTGTGGTCACTTGATATTGCAACATCCACACTTCTCTAGTCCGAATGACATCCCAATGTCAGTGCTGTAGAGCCTGGTGGTGTGGATCAGTGAGTRGATGTCTTGCTCGCTCTTGGCGTACAGCTTGATGTCATCCATGTAGAGGAGGGGACTGATTGTGGCCCCATTCTTGAGTCGATATCCGTAGCCAGTCTTGTTGATGATTTGGCTGAGAGGGTTCAGGCCTWTGCAGAACAGCAGTGGGGACAGAGCATCTCCTTGGTATHTGCCACATTTGATGGACACTTGTGCAAGTGGTTTGCAGTTGGCTTCAAGGGTGGTTTTCCACAGCCCCATCGAGTTTGCAATGAAGGCTDTTAGAGTCCTATTGATGTTGTACATCTCTAAGCATTCAATGATCCAAGTGTGTGGCATTGAGTCATAGGCTTTCTTGTAATCAATCCAAGCGGTGAACAGGTTGGTGTGTCGGGTTTTGCAGTCTCGGGCGACTGTGTGGTCTACAAGGAGTTGGTGTTTGGCTCCTCTGCTATTTATGCCGATGCCCTACTGTGCCGTGCTCATGTATTTATCCATGTGCCTGCTTATCTTAGCCGCTTTGATGCCTAACATGAGCTTCCATGTTGTAGAGAGACAGGTTATCGGCCTATAGTTGGATGGGACTGAACCCTTTGAGGGATCCTTCTGGATCAGGATTGTGCGCCCTTCAATTAACCATTCAGGGTGAGTCCCATTTTGTAGCAGCTGGTTCAGTTGAGCTGCCAGTCTCTCATGGAGGGCAGTGAGTTTCTTTAGCCAGTAGGCACAGATCATGTCATGCTGTCCAGTTTTTCATTCCCAAGACTCTTTCTTGGACATCTGCCACAGTGATGGTTACTGAGGCTTGTTCAGGGAGGTTGCTGTGGTCTTCTCGTAGAGAGGCGCCTTCCTTTCCCATATGCCTTTCCAGTATTGTTCAGTCTCCAGCTTTGGTGGGTCTGATCTGTTGTTATTACTCTGCCATTGAGAGTACACTTTAGCTGGTTGGGTGTAGAAGAGCCGGTTAATCTGGTCTTTCCTTGCACTGATCTTTTCATTGCACCTATTAGGAGCTCTGACAGTTGGCTCACTTCCCTCCTTGTTATCTTGATCTTAGCCTCTAACCGTCTTTTCCATGGTGGGTATTGGYTCRRATGGTTGCTCTTATAGCCAAGCATCTCAAGCATCTCTTGTTTGGCCGGGCAACGTCTGAGCCGGCATGTCATTCTTATTAATGTCTCTCATGGTATGAGGTAGGCCATATAGCTTCAAGGGTCTTGCCTAAGGACCCATACTGCATAGCTTAATTTCTCTGTTGTAACTCTTTGCCCCGGCCTGGATTCGAACCCAGGTCTCCCAGGTGGAAGACCGGTGACTTACCCACTGAGCTATACAGTGAGCTATGTCTGTGTATATACATATACACATATATATTGTTGAATAAATTGATTTGTAGAAGGAATTAAACCATACAACACCAGAATTCTGGATCTGAGTGAGGTTTATTGTCAATTGAGCTGACAGGAAACCACCTCTTTCTCTGGGATTGAACTGATGTATCTTCCTGCTGTGTGATCTTTTAATTGATCTTTTGAGTGTATAACAAATTTGTTATATACCTACTACACATCTTAAAAATCTTTAATTTTCCAGGTGTATTCTTGGAGAGAGGATGTCACCATTTCACCAGCATACAGTTAAACATCCCTGCCCTTTTTTCAGGTTAGTTTCTCCATTTGCAGCCCTCGCCTTGACTTGCAGCAAACGTCGATACGGCGGCCGCACCGCAAGGCCTAGTAGCTGAAGCACCACATCAGCTCCGTACTCCACTTTCAGTCAGACATCGGGGTCACCAAGTCTGTAAGAAAATTCATTTTCAATAAACTGAAGTCAATATTAAAAACACCATTGTTACATAAATTGATTTGTAGAAGGAATTAAACCATACAACACCAGATTTCTGGATCTAAGTGAGGTTTATTGTCACTTGAGCTGACAGGAAACCACACTGGCGAAAAACCAGGAAGTTCATCAATTTATACGTTCTTCAATGCCTCCGTTCGCCCCCTACTGACCTATGGCTGAATCACAGGCATTCAGACAAAATTCTCATCTAATGTCATCACAACGGTTGATTATGTGTTGTTATAATTGGGACATGTACAATAACTAATCTATATCAATGAAAACAAAATAGATAAAACATTGTCAACATTACAAAAAGGAAAATCTAAAAATATAGTCTTGTGCTTTTAACATCAGTACTAACCTCTAATAACTATAAATTTCTTCAATCCCCCTGTTCACATGACCAAATCATGTGAACAAAAATAAGAAATTTATAATAAGCTATTTGTTCACATTAAGGCACAAATGTCCATGCAAATTACCCTAAGCGATGCTGCACAACATGGAAAATTTCTAACATCCTACCCCTGATATAAATTAATATGCTCCGTTTATTCCACCCCAATCAAAATAAAAACCATTAATTGAACTATTGTCAAATACCAACCAGGTCAGCTGTGTTTATTCTAATCGAGGCCAGAGGTTCCAGAACATGGCCTACCATCAGGTACAAGTCCTCAGCACCATTCCATCTTCCCCTGTCTTCCGTGGCAGACTGACCTGGTTACTAACAACATCCCTGCACATTAAGATTTAACCTTAGCTCATCAACCATTAAACCGTACAAAGAACATTAAAAACAAATCAACCAAAATGCTAAAACAGTTCTGAATATATCCTGCTTAATGTGTCACTTCTATAAACAGAATCAATAATGAAAAACATAAAGGAAAATCAAACATTTTACCAAAATCATTTACAATTGACTCGTTAACCTACAAATATCATGTCCGACTACATGAGTGTAACTATTTCAGTGTTATCATTCTATATCTAAAAATGTCAGCTATAGACTTTGGGGCTTTTTACTCCACGCCGTCACTCCTTGCCCTTTCAGTATGGGTCGTGCGATGGTCCCAGGGATGGAATCCTCCTGTTGTCTCATCTCGTAGGCCAAAAGGTGGATGTTGCTCTGAGATGCTCAATCTAGTTGTCTTGGAGATGGTCTTTGAATACACCCTTATGAAGAAGCTAATAACAATAACAATCACCATAAATGCAATCAGACCACTACCCAGCCACCATTAGAGTCTAAAGCCTTTTTATGTTTACCATGTTTGCCAACCACTGAGAAATCACTGCTCTAAACCATCTCCTCAGACCCCCTTACTACAGCAGAAATTAGCCAAAGAATATACCACTTTAATGTGACACCACCCAAATATCCAGCTAACTATTCTGCAATGATCAAGCAAATAACATAATTCAAAAGCCACATATCATCATTTCAATTAACCACAATGTACCTCCCTACTGCCACCTTCAGGCCCAACGCATGTAACTGTCTTCTAATAACAAATATAAACTGTAACTAAACCTCCGACAATTATTGTACCCCCTGTAACCATCACCAACTTAAATTATAAATCCTGAAAAAGAATGGTTAAGCATGTGCAGAAAGTTATCCTCATCACAGTTGTTCACATAAGATTGACAACATCATCCACTGTATTGTGCTGAAAATTAAACATTAGTTTTCACCACCTCAGTGAAACCTTGTAAATTTCCACCTGTAAGCCAAATTTTTATCACTCCAAGCTTGAGACCTGTGGGATTTGTTATGTTTTGATACAGTCAAAATTATACAGTTAAACATTATCATACATGTCTTCGCACTGGACTCAAACAGTTTTTTTTCTTTCTTTCATCCAACCAACTTCTTTGTCATATCAGTTTCACCCAATCGAGGCTTGTTATGACCTTTAAAAACCTTGCTCTGAATGATCTTGTTGAGAATGTGTTTTGCCTGTTGTTTTGTTCATGTCACCCTTGTGTGTCTTCTCAGTGTATTTACCACTCATCCTTCCTCAGTCTGTTTTCTAGGTCACTCATTGTATTATGCTCACCTATCGCTTGTTTGTGATCAGTCCCCTCTCCAGCTGTCAGTCGTTTCTCATTTCCTCTGTTAGTACACAGTATATTCTAGTTCAGTTCTTCATCTCATCGCTGGTTCTTTGTTTGGTTTCCCTACCATACTGTCTGATGTGCTTCGTGGTCTCCGTGAGTTTGTTTTTGTTTGCTGCCTCGACAGTTTTTTGATTTAATTTTGTTAAATAAATCTTTTATTTCTAAAAACTTAACTCTCCGCCTGGAACTGGGTTCGCACCTCCACCACATCATCACAGATCTATTCACAGAGCAAAGATGAAACAGAATCACCACCTCTTTCACTGGGATTGAACTGATATATCTTCCTGCTGTGTGATCTTTTAATTGATCTTTTGAGCGTGTAACAAATTTGTTATATACCTACTACACATCTTAAAAACCTTTAATTTTCCAGGTGTGTTGTGGGAGACAGGACGTCACCATTTCCCCAGCATTCAGTTAAACATCCCCGCCCTTTTTTCAGGTTAGTTTCTCCATTTGCAGCCCTTGCCTCGACTTGCAGCAAATGTCGATATGGTGGCCGCACCGCAAGGCCTAGTAGCCGAAGCACTACAACAGCTCCCTACTCCACTTTTGGTCAGACGTCAGGGTCACCAAAACTGTAAGAAAATTCATTTTCAATAAACTGAAGTCGATATTAAAAACACCATTGTTAAATAAATTGATTTGTTGAAGGAATTAAACCATACAACACCAGAATTCTGGATCTAAGTGAGGTTTATTGTCACTTGAGCTGACAGGAAACCACACTGGTGAAAAACCAGGAAGTTCATCAATTTATACATGTTCTTCAATGCCTGCGTTTGCCCCCTACTGACCTACGGCTGAATCACAGGCATTCAGACAAAATTCTCATCTAATGTCATCACAACGGTTGATTATGTGCTGTTGTAATTCGGACATGTAACTAATCTATTATCAATCAAAACATAATAGATTAAACATTGTCAACATTACGAAAAGGAAAACCTAAAAATATAGTGTTGTGCTTTTAACATCAGTACTAACCTCTAATAACTATAAATTTCTTCAACCAACTACATCCAAGTCTTTCCAATTATCCCCATATGCACACTTACCCTCTAAAGTTGTCATCCCAAGCACATTTTTTATAAATGGCATTACGAGGAGCTCAAATGATGACTTGATGTCATCAACATGGCTGACTGCATATCTGGTGAGTCCTGGAACCATTTTGATAACATTACTAGTGCTATGTCTACCCTGCTGTTTCAGTGGAGAAAGGGACCATAGCATCTTTACATTTTTGGAAGAGCTCATGTCTGCAGGTGGTTGAGAGACAACAGGAGGGTCAACACTCATTCTCATCAGATGAGAATTCTTAATAT